GCTTTTGAGGCGGCTACAGTATCCAGACAGCCGGGTTTAGCTGCTGTTTGATGAATTTTTATGCTGTTACAGCAAAAGCAACAACGATTGATGGACTAACCGATTTATGCGGGTCTCGGTAGTGCAACAACGAAAATATTCTTGGGATTCCTTGCTGTAGCGTCACTCGTATATAGAATCTGAACTCGAATGCCAAACGTATTGCCAACTCGCACACCGGAAGAAATGATTAGAAAATCTTAAGGACCTACAACTTCCAAAGCAGAGCCAAAAAACTACGGGCAGCTGCGAAGTCCCTGTCCAACCCGTCGAAATTGAACAGAGTCAAAGCACAACGACTGGATATGTCGCCATCAACTTCGTCTACAAAACGTACACCTGGAGGTACAGACAGCTCTTAATAAAGCAAAATCCTTAAAACTCAATAACGTAGAGGGCATCTTCTTGCTGAGGGCGAAGCAAACAGAGGCGCCAGGATTTAACCACACATATTTAATCCCAGAGGTACGGAAGAAAGATAAAGTGAAATCGGGGAAGAACGTCGAGCTGGGCGAGTCCTGCAGGTCGATCACTCTGCTCTCACCAGTGTTCGGGGAACTAGGCCCTACTACTCTGGGGTGCTAGACCTGTCAAAGAGGAACGTTAATTAAGGATATCCCATCGTCATTACTACCAGCTATTACAAAACGACAGCCAGCCATCGATGGTATTCAGAAACATGATCTTAAAGCCCGCGATGACGAACAAAAACCAATATTGTGGTCTGTGGGCATCAGCGATACGCTTAGACGATGAAGCCAACGCACTAATGGTGAAGGAAAACAAGCTGGTTCTACAGTTTATGTCGGGCTGCCACACAACCAACCCAACTGACTCCACTCTAGTTCGGCTGTTGCAGCCAGAAAAGATCCGGAAATCGTTGACACCTGTCAAGTGGAAAGATTCCACACAACACCGCTTACGTGGTTTTCTGAGCTACATAACCCAACTGATACCCGAGCCGCTCTGGACGTAGCCAACGGAGATCGCGCACATATGTTGGTATGCAGACTTTCAACAGAGGTGGACGAAGTTGGATACTGAACATTTTTTCAACTTCCCATAAGGAAGCTTCCTGATTTAGCCGTGGCCCGGCCAGTATTGGGTACGCTATCGGCGGTAATTGAAAGTGAAAAACGTTCTTAGGAAGAACAGTGTTGACCCAGGGGGTACAAAATACATACGTGGATTACTTTGAACTTACATTGACTCTCCACTAGACCCCACCCAATTTAAAGGTAAATACAGAACTCGGCGCAAAATGCCTGTTTATGCAAATGCATTTACTCGCTCGAAGTTCTTTTGGCAAAAAAATAAAAAAACAAAAGTCATTTTTAAGCAAAAAACAAAACCGACTTCATTTCTCATATAAAAATTTACGAGTACCGTTAATTTTTTTATGATCCAATGATCGGATCTAAACCAGATTGGTTTCCGATGCAAAAAGAATTATGGAAATCGGTGGACGTGGTCCAAGTTATGCGGTAACATACATACAAAAAAATATGTATATATTCTGACCAACTGATAACCTCCTCCTTTTTTGGAAGTCGGTTAAAAAGGAATCATCATTCAGAAGTAATGAAAAATTACTTGACTGAAAGGGGGTTTATGCAGCAAACAAAGGTGAAAATACGCGGAAGCTTTTTCAGTTCAAATGATTGTCACTAGAAGCAACAAAGATCCAAGAATAATAGAATGCATTATTTTCTGCATCTGACAAAGATCTGCACGATGAAACTTCATAGCGAAGAGAGTTTACGGCAGTGAATATCTCCAGCGCACATGGGCCGCATATCATTAGTACACTGAAGACGCAAACTAAGATGACAAAGAGAGGATGTAACATCGATATTTTTTTTTTTGAAAAAGTCTTCCCCAACCTTTTCCCCTCTCCTCCCACTAACTGGCGAGTTACTTGGCGCGTTCTTAAAGTTGTCCAAATGCAAATGCAGGGAAGAAAATAAGTAGATGAATAAGCAGCAGACGCCTTCGGCAGAATAAGCGATGAGTGAAATGCTTTTCAACTGCGCAGCTGTCACGAATTCCGTGAGCTCTCCAAAGTGTTGTGTATGTATGTATATGTATAAGTGCACATGGATGAGTAAATCTATAATATATGCATATAGGTATGTACATACATAACTCAGCATTTATGTAGAGGAATGAAAATAGTGTGAATAGAGCGAGTCGCCACCCACTCCTCCCTGCGCGCTGTGTGTGCACGCGAAGATTCCCCCGAAGCGCTGAGCCCCTTGGAATTCTCCGTGTATGTTTTTTTTTTCGTTTTGTGCGCTCAGCGAATGATGCGCGCCTCCATTGAAGAGCAGCGCCAGCCAACACCAAATGGCTAGCGGCTGCTATCGACAGTTCTACGGTTGAGCTCAAAGCGGCAGCAAGTGTACGGCGAAGACCCACCGAAACCGACCGAATAACAATCAATTAAAAGTGAAGAGAATTTTTTTTTTTCAAAAAGGTGTGCACTGTGCAAAAAAAAGGCGGAAAGTCTTAAGTAAATTGCATTTGTTTTTCTTTTTGTGTGCCAAATTATTTAGAAAACCAATTCGAAAATTAAACAAAAACAATCTTGTACTAAATTTGCTCAATAATTACCCAATCAAATACAAAATTTCAAACAAAGACAAAATGTCCAAAACGCCCACACAACAACAACACCAACAACAACAACACCAACAACATGCGCCACCCAAAGAGATTCCGGCGTTGAAACGCGCCGCGCTGCAAGTGATGGCCGGCGGATCGGCCGGCTTTGTGGAGGTTTGCATTATGCAGCCGCTGGATGTGGTCAAAACGCGCATGCAACTGCAGAATACAACAAAGGTCGCGGGAGAGGTGGGTAAAACCTCAACACGAATGTATGTGCGTGGGTGTGTGTGTGTGTGGAAATCGCGCGTGTGTGCGTTCGAAGATCGGCGTAGAGGGGAAGTGGGAGAGAGAGTCACCAGCTTTGGAGGCAAAGTAAAAGGCTGTAAATGTGTGAGGTGTATGTTTTACAACTGTGCGTGTATGTGTGTGCGATTATTTACGAGTGTGCTTGCCTAATGGCAATTGATGACTGGATAGAGTGTTAATTGAATTTTTCATAACGATTGCTGTTTTTAGCTAAAACTTAGGACTTCTGCTGATAAGATAAACATTTCGATACAAAGCGTTTGAAATTTAAACGATATGTGAAAAAAAAAATTTTTGTAAAACATTTTTTAGCACATAAGTTTTATTTAAATTTGTTTAGGCAAAATTGAAAGAAAAATCGCCATTACATCTTCGAACCTGCTTATAAATCAACCCAGCGTAAATAAACGCGTTGGATCGGCACATCACCCGCATCGAACAGCCTCGATAGCTTCCCGCTCGCGCTCTCGGACATCTTTCTCCTCCACTTCGCATTCGATTTTCTTTGCATCTTCCTATTTATGTAGCTACTTATCCAACATTGTCATCAGCATTGACATTGTCCTTAATCATTGGTAGTTAATTAGTAACAATGAGCACAAAGAAATGCAATGTTTAATTCGAAGAAAGTGGGCAGAAAAAAATAGAGTGAGAGTGGAAGAGCGCGCGTATGTCATCTGGCAATTAGAGCGGGGGGTACCGCACTGGGCCGTGGGCGGGTAAGCGCATGGCGTTACATTCCGCCACATTCTCGGCCAATTTGGTTGCCTTTGTTAATCTCATTTCGTTGGCTGATAAGAAAAAAGGCAGACCAGCCGCTCTAAGGTGGCAGGCGCTTCTCGGCGTGCGTCTTTTGTGTTGGTATTCTTTTATCTGTTGTTTTTTTATTATTTCAAAAACAAACAATGCCAACTTATCGTATATTTAATAATAAAACAAATGATAAGAAAATAACAAATTTTTCTAGATATGCATCTTTTTAGGCCACCGTATTCGTCTATTTCATAAAAATTAAACAGCAGCAGAATAGTTGCCCTTGATTGTAATTGGGTTAACATATGAAAAAATGGAAAAAGCAACAAGAGTTTACGTGGCGAACTTAGCTCAGTGGGCAGATCACTGGCTTTGTAATCCGAAGTTGCGTTGAAGAAGTCTGATGAGGAGATGTGGTAATCCCCGAAAGAGCAGCTATAACTTCTACATTTTTAAACTATTGTTGGTTTTTCCACAATAATTTTTCGAAAACAGCAGTTCAATAAAATTGTTTAAAATTATTAACTTAAATTGTTTAAAATTAAAAATAAATCAAGCGTTTTGATTAGTTAATGTTCGAAGTTTTTTCTGTATTTTTATTATAATTTTTATAGACCGAGATTACTCCAACCATATCTTTCTTAACCCTTTCAATACCATAGGTCTAGCAGTGAAAAAATTACGCTTTGAATTGCGGCTTGTTTTTAATGAAAAGTCAAATGAAAATATCATGATGTAAAATTTTCGATTGAAAAATTTGCTAAATAATAATTTTTTCTGTTTTTTACATTTTTTAATTAAACATGTTTAAATACTTTTTAATAAAACCTAAATAAAATGATTAAAAAGGGTTTTATAAATCTCCAATAAAATTTGTTTCAATATTTATTTTTTTTTTTTCATTTAAATTTGTTTTGTTAAATTTTATAGTTTACGCCATACAATGTTAAAGTCGACTCTAAAGTTAGTTTCAGCTTTTTTGAAAGATATTTTATCGAAAATTAACTTTCGGGTCTACTTTATTTTGACTATGAATATGCCTCATTGTCCCTAATTAGGACTACTATTCTTGGCGAATATACGAGCAGAGATTTGAAGAACGCAATAGAGTTTTCGCCTCGAAAATATATTTAGGTATTAGAACTCGATCTCAAAAGTATTAACTTTTTAATGGCAGGTATGCCAATTTCAAAAAGCGGTAGTACGACTCGGAGACGGCAAAAGTCACTGGCTCCAAATAGCATACATTTTCAGCAAATTACTTCATTTGTTGGTTGGGAATTCAAAACAAGGAAAATTGGAAAAATAATGAAAAAGTTCGCCAAACAGAAAAGTGCTGCATAATTCTAGGCACTAGATAGCTAATTTCCATACCAACAAGGCGAATGCAGCCAAGAGGAATCGGAAATTCATGCGCTCGACTGGGGCCGCATCGGTTAGAGTGGAGGCCTACTAGGGCGTGACCGTTTCAAAACGAAAAAAGATTGTAAAAGCCTCAACGAGTTTTGAAGGAAAAGTAAAAAATAAATAGATTTTATTTCGAGCAAGAAAAGTCCGTAAAGTTTCTTTTTATGGTTGGAAATTCTTATATAAATAATCCCGAAAATTCCCCAATAAAACACAGAAAAGTCACGAAATTTCGAAAATACTTGCAAAATCTCGAAAGGTCTTGATATATGTAAGCGTAAAAATAGTCGAAAAGTTTCAGAAAAAATTTCGAAATTACCAGAAAAAGTCGTGTAGCACAATATGTAGAAAAAAAAAGTTAAGACAATTTTGTATTGATATTTTTTAGATACATTTTGTTGCGCTGCGTTTCATTTACTTCATACTGGCCTTGAGCAAACAAATTTATAACTGTTTAAAAAATTTAATTTTTCATTTATGGCCTACTTTCAATTTCCTAGCTTTCCCCCATAAACGAACAACTTCGCTTCAAATTGTTTTAATTATAGGTTAATTCATTTTATTAAACTATTCGAACTTCATGCTAGTTAAGGAAAACTTGCTCTTTGTGGCGCCTTAACTGTGGGGCAATCGTGGCTTTGCTTGCCCAATGTTCGATACATTTTCTCCAAAGGGCATGGCAAGGTCAACGGTATGTGCAAGCATTTGGAAACGTTAAAGAAGCACAATAAACATAATTGAAGAGCAAAGCCACTCGAGGCGCAAACGTTGTTATGGTTACAACAGAGAATTTCGAAGAGCAGCGGAAAACTATGTAGTTGAAAGCGAGAGTGAATGCTGAAATGATAATATTTAGGTACAAACATACATACATATTACATATATGTACATAAGTATGTATAAATATATGGTCTCTCGTTTGCCAGCGAGGAGAGCTCTTTTCGCTTTGCCCCAACGAAAACTCCACCTACGAAATCCGCCTAATCAGCTCAGCCAGTAACTCAAGCGTTGATTGCATTTAACTCAATTGATAAGCGCTTATTAAAAACATATTTACATATCTCTGCATGTACATATGTATATACGTACATATGTATGTATGTACATACACTGCCGGAACAAAGTATTGGCACAGTAAATTTTTCACAATATATGCAACAATTTTCATTCTAATATTTTTCAGCTAATTTCGTATAAAAATATGGTTCATTCTACAACAAAAAACATAAAAATATAATTCCTAAACTTGAAAATTCAGCAAATTTCCATGAAAATTTTCAACTTTTTAATCAGATTTTTAAAAAATTTTCTGAGTATGCAGATGTGTAGCCCAATCAATTTTATTGTAATAAAGTGCAAGTTTTAAGTAGCTAGAAATTACCGTTGATTTTTGGCAATTTTTTTTTCACACAGTCTCTTCCATACAAAAAATTTTTTTCGAAAATACTTTATATGGAAAAAATGCAAAACACCTTCAACAAAAAAAAAATCTCAAAAATCAACGCGATTTTTTACTAACTCCAAACTTGCATTTTTTTTACTAGAAATTAATGGGCTGCAAAACTGCATACTCAAAAAAATCTGATTAAAAAATTGAAAATTTTGATGAAAATTTGCTGAATTTTCGCGATTTTTGCACAAAGTTTAGGAATTCTATTTTTATGTTTTTTGTTGTTGAATGAACCATATTTTTATATAAAATTGGCGGAAAAATATTAGAATAAAAATTGTTGCATATATTTTGAAAAATTTGCTGTGCCAATAATTGGTTCCGGCAGTGTTAGTATGTATATACATATCTATATTTACGTAATAAGTACATACAGCTACTAGTTATCTTGTCATCATTTCAACGCGAATTCGTATGTCAAACATTTGATAAGAAGCTTCAACTCGTCCAAGCAACATAGCAAGCGTAATAAATAGTCAAAACAATTCGTTAAATTGCTAAAAATACAATGACAATAATATTTTTTTCTTAGGTACATATGTATGGCATATGTATGGGCAAATCTAAAAAACAGGTAACCTTTGTGTTATTTAGCTTTATTTTCATTTACTTATCTGTACATTTCGTATGTAGTAGGCAACTAAAGTGTGCTTTAAAAAATAACTAACTGGCAATTAACGAATATCGCGTATCGCGTATAGTTTTTGAAGCATTTCATTTTAAACACTTTTTAAGTATGTATTGTATTCTACAAATAACTTGATACCTTAGCGAGAGTTGTGCTTTCAGAATAAACCAACTCTTATAAAATATTCTGCGATCTTGAGCGTAATTTTTTTTCCAAAAACATCTTAATTGAAACCACAATTGGAAAATACGTCGAAACGATCTAAATATTTTTGTAAATACTAGTCCTTATAACGTTACATATACGTACCTGTAAAATGCTTCAAAAAAATTGTCTCTAGAAGTGTGTAAAAACCAAGATTTACTACTTTTATTGATGCTCCTTCTTGTAGTGAGAATATTTCGAGCGTGTTATCAAATGAACTCTTTTTCGACACAGGTTCTGATAGTTGCTTTTGCTTAATTGGAGCCTTATAAATTCAATGGCGTCCCTAGTTTTACCCGAGTGGCTCCACTTTTCGTGTTAGCGGTACTTGAAACTTTGCTTAAATTTGAACTATTTTATAAAAAAAAAATCTCTCTTAGTATGTATGTATAATATGGCGTCTATTTATTAAAACACCCCCCGTGGTTCTGCCACTGACTGACACGTAGTTTAACCCCCAAAATCCCCCCGCTGAATCCGGCACTGGTTCACTTTAACATATAGCACGCAATTTGTTATTCGGATATGAAGTTAGAGTTATAGCGCAAAAACACATATCTGAGTAATCAGTTGTATTGGAGCTATATGTTTAAGTCAACGTATTTCGATCGTTTTAGGGAATAATAGAGGTAATATTAAAAACCGTTATGTGCAAAATTTTAGTAAAATAACGTTAAAACTGAGAGGGTTATTTTTAAAATAGTTGAAATTTAATCAAATTTTCAAGTACCGCTATCTCGAAAACCGGAGCTAATCTGGTAAAACGGGTGATGCCTTTGAATTTAGAACGTCCCAATTAATTGAGTTCAACTTTCCAAATCTTTGCTCAAAATTTAATTTGAACCCAGCTTATTCTTTTGTTTTCTATTGCAGCGATCTAAATGTTTATTCCTCGTCTAACTTTTGAAGCACCTGATGAAAATGAGTTACACTTATATTTATTGATTTATTGAGAGATTACGAATAGAATCATATATAAAACATATGTAGGTGTAGGTGCCCACAAATTAGAAAATCAAACTTTTTGTTTTGAAAGTGTACCAGTTTTTTAAGATTTCCCCATATGCATATTTATAGATATTTGTTTGCAAGCGAAGGCTTTTTATTTTCGTACAAACAAGATTTCGACAATTTACTGACTGGCTCGTCCACTCCCCTTTCACGCCGCATTTAACGAGCCAGAACGTTACCTACACATACCCACAGCGCAGCGCGTGTGAGTTAATAAAGATAAAAAAAAATACGATTTTTTTTTTTTTAATATTTTCATGACATTTGGCTCAGGCATGATTCTTTGCGATTATATAAGGTGGTCCTGAAAAATTTGCAAGAATAATTGCAAAACTTAAAATCAAGAAATAACCGATATCGTGCTTCAAATTATCATAATTCAAAGGATATGCCGATAAAATTTCGCACTTAAAATTAAACTCGAAGATTTTAAAATAATTTTGGAAAAAAATATATGTAATTGCAAACTTGTTTCACGATAAATACCGAATTTGCTCGTATTTTTATAAATCCGTCAACCTTAGAAATGAGGGTTTAGGCTATAAGTTGTTGTTATTGTTGTTGTAGCACATATCTGACTCTCGATATCTCGAGTTCAAATTTCAATGGGACTAAGCAAATTAAGAGGTTACACCACCCTGAAAAAAAAAACAAAAAAATATAAAATTTATTTTTGCCAAAAAAAAAGTTTTAAATACTCTCGTCTCATGCCCTCTTGTGTCAAATTGAAAATTTTTGCTTGTATTTCCACACACACTCTTACTGCCGTTCCTAAATTGGAGCGCTAAGCGTTGCGTTTTCCATTGTCAACGAGTGTCAGCGCGTGCTATCCCCAAATCAACGCGGCGTAATTTCTGGCATTTTCCCATTTCCTCTCCTTTTCTCCTTCTCTTTTTACCGTAAGAGCAATCAATTTGATTTAAATGAAAACATGCAGTTTTTGCAAACAGAAACATTTTTAAAGGTTGTGAATAAGGATAAAATAATTTCTCATTTCTTTCGAATTGCAACATTTTTATCTTTAACGGTAAAATATGTATTGTCGTCATATGCTATTTTGTATGTCCATGAAAGACAGACTTAAGTTGTTTTGTCAAATGTCCACAGATATGTACTCTATGTATTTGGAAGCAAAGTTGTTTTTTTTTTATAAATTTCATAAATCAGAAAAAAAAGTTAATTTTTAACCTTTTTTCGACCGTCAAGTGTAATTCCCTTAAGAGATAGAAGATAAACACGCTGTAGTATCCGTTGGGTTGTAAAAAACAGTGGTTGACTCTATGGCATCAATTTCTATATTCCACGCAGTTTTTCTTATTATTTTTCATGAAACTCAGGCAAACTCAGGACTATGTATAAAAGGGGATATTCAATCGCGGTCTTAGATGATGACACCACTAGTTTTAGCTATTTATTTCTCATTAAAACGTGCATCTTTCAATCGCTCCTTAAGTAGGTCCCCTAAATCGGCCGACCTGAGCGCTAGTAGTCTTCAAATTACAGAAGTTTTTTTTTGTTGTGGATTTTACCTAAGCAGATGCGGTGGTCTTTCTTGGGTTGTAAATCTATCTAATTCTATCTCCACTAGTAGGATTTGAACCCGGTTCTTATGAGGCAAATGAAGCTCAACGTCTACTACAGGTGGTGGTTGGACTCCGATTACGGTATTCATAGGGCGAGAGTTCATGGTTTCGACAGCAGTTTCGTCTCTTTTGGCGACACGTTGCTTTGGCGGAAGTTTCCACTGGATTTTCATGACTCAGTTAGCAAAAGTAAGTCAACAGCGCATACGCAGCTACGTCAGTGGCTTTAAAGATCGGCGTGAAGAAATCAAAATGCCCGTAGTTACCGGCTTGGTTAAGCAAACAATTCCATGTGATTACAAAGGGTCTTAGCTAAGTACCCATTGGTCCGTGTAGAGGATATTTCGGTAGTTAATAATTTCCAATCCAAATTTATATTTCCACCTCAGTATGTGCAGGGTTAAACTCTATTTACTTATCGTATCACTGGGCCATAGCGCAGCGTCAGCAATGCAAAAATATCGTAAATTAAAATAAACGCATGCCGATTTACATACTTAGATACCTCATTCATTAACAAATGCAATGGCATATCGCTCGGAGACTTTTGTAGTTTTTGGTTTTGTGCTTTTGGCTAATGTAGACAGCAACTAATTTGTCGGCAAATTGTTGATAATTGGATGTAAGGTTGATGGATGAGCAGAAAGAGTGAGTTGTGGCTAATTTTTTTTTTGTATTACATTGGATCTGTTTGCGTTTTGAGGAGGGCGATGGGGGTGTTTAGTCATTGAGATCAAAGTACAGCCATTATGAATCACTTCGAATTGTTTAAAGGTCTTCACTGCCCACAGTAGCGTTAAATAAGTTTGCTTACCACCTTTGAGGGGCGCAAGCCGAATTGAGAGAGGGTCTCGAAACCCGGAAAGGGCATTCTTTTTGTCCCATCAAAGACCTCTGCGTCGGGGTCTGCCGTTCTGTGCTAAGATCTTCCTCTATTAAAGTTTCTGAAATATTTTCACGTATAAACCACAGATTATTTTTAGAAGAATTATATAAAAATACACTGAGAGGAAAAAATTAAAGATATAGAATTAATGCCAGTTGGAATTTCCTTTCTGTGTATTTTTTTATTACTGTTGGCTTTTCTTAATGCTCTGACGCTGTTGTTCGTCTCCGATGTTCAAATAAATCGTCTTCAACGGTATATATGTAGGAGTGTTTTTATTTATTGGGTATAAAAATAGTTTTCAATCGAAAGTGATGATGCTGCGGATGCATTAAATACGCTCAAATTATACCATTATATTTGTTAGTTTGTATGTGCGTATGTGTGTCTTTATTTACATTACCAAAGAGGCTGGTCGCATGGCGTCAGCTGGTTGAACGTTCTTGAAGAGGCTAGCGAAATGCATTAAAAATGATTTATTTCCAGCCAAATGTACGAATGCGTTATTTTTTTTTGGTTTCGCTCGTTTTAGGTTAGGTAAACAAAGTGTAAGCGTAGCACAATGCTTAGTATTTTGCATAAGGAATTAATCACAAGAAATTTATTTTACAAACAGCTCTTATTCTTGTTAACTTTTAGACTCACTACAATGGCGTCTTCGATTGCTTTGCCAAAATGTATCGCCAAGAGGGTCTCTTCTCCTTCTGGAAGGGCATACTGCCGCCTGTGATAGCTGAAACACCAAAACGTGCCATTAAATTCGTCTGTTTTGAGCAAACAAAGCCGTTATTCCTCTTTGGAGCGCCAGCACCCACGCCACTAGTGAGTACATACATTCTTTTCAGCTTAACATTCCATTTCATTAAAGGCATTCCTTTCTTAAATACCTTCCTTGGAAATTCTCATTGCATTCATGAATCATGGCTTCCTTTTTAACTCTCTTCTCACCACTCTTCTCTCCTCTCCCAACAGACATTCTCGCTGGCCGGTCTCACAGCTGGCCTTATCGAAGCCATCGCCGTCAATCCCTTCGAGGTGGTCAAAGTGGCGCAACAGGCAGATCGCACGAAAGCAAAGGAGGCGGCAAGCACTTGGACTGTGGCACGCCGCATCGTTCAGACCGACGGTTTGGGCTTCCGCGGCCTCAATAAAGGCGTCACAGCGACAATGGGTCGCAACGGCGTCTTCAATATGGTCTACTTTGGATTCTATCACAGCGTCAAGAATTACGTGCCCGCCTTTGAGGATAGTACACAGGAATTCTTCCGCAAAGTGTTGATCGGCTTCACATCCGGCACGCTGGCCTGCTTCGTCAACATACCGTTCGACGTGGCGAAGTCACGCATCCAAGGACCACAGCCACAGCCAGGCGTCATCAAGTACAAGGGCACATTCAGTTCCATTGGCATTGTGTACCGCGAGGAGGGATTCCGCGCGCTCTACAAAGGCCTCGTGCCGAAGGTGATGCGATTGGGTCCAGGCGGCGCGATCATGCTGCTGGTCTTCGAGTATGCCTACGAATTTTTGCAAGTGAAACTGGCCTAACAAAGGCGAATCCGGAGGCCAAATGAGTATTTGTATAGAAAATTTGTAATAACTGCCCACAGCAAGACACACACACACACACACACACACATGTACTTTGTACGGTATTGATTAACTGATATGTATGTAAATTGTTAAATTTTGATTGTTATGATACAGCTTGAGGAAGAAAAAACTTTAATAAAAAGTAATGTTTTTATTTTTTGTAATTTTTATGAATACACTTAATTTGCCAATTTTCGTTTTTCCTGCTGACTTTTAATGATTTCTGTGGTCCAAAGCTCTTGCACGTTTCGCCTCGAATTTGGAGCAAAGCTGTGTATAATTAAC